ATAGCCTTAGGTTTATATCTAGAGCATGTCTGAAAATGGTGTTATATTAAAGATGATGTTGTATTAAATATAGTTTCTATTAGCATCAACTTCAAACTTTGTTCTGTAGTTGTTGTTTTTTTCAATTACTTAATTGAAAAAAGTAAATTATCATTTACTTTTGAATTAAGTTATTTTTTAAACCACTAAATCTCTTTAAATACATAAAAATGTTAGAAAGACATGAAAGTATACTTTGAAGTCAAAAGCCCAGATTGTTCAATATAATTAAACAAAATACAGGGTGAAACAAAAGTAGGTTTTCAATTGTAAGCATGTGAAACACAGAGATTATTTTTTTATTATTTAGTAATTATATTATTTTCCATAGGAACAACTGTAAACTTACTTTTGCCCCACCCTACATATGATTATTCAAATGATATACTCTGGTCATACAAATTTTTAGAATTGCTATGGGTTAATAATACAAGGGCTCTAAGTACTAGGCCAATTTTCCACTAAATTGTATAAGTTAATTTATTAGACTGATTTATTTATTTATTTTTAAAATGTTTTTATTCATCTTAGAGAGAGAGGGAGAGAGAGAGAGATATAGAAACATTGATGAGGGAGAAACATTGATCATCTGCCTTCTGCATGCTCCCTACTGGGATTGAGTCCACAACCTGGGCTTGTGGCCTGACTGGAAATTGAACCAGTGACCTCTTGGTCCATGGGACAATGCTCAACCAACTGAGCCATACTGGCTGGGCTGATTTATTTTTTTACAGTTTAATTTCTGTAATGGAAGTAATATGTATTCTAATAGAAGTAATATGTATTCTATTTGTAAAACTTGACAACTCTCCACAGCAAAAGAACATAAAAATTATATACATATTTTAAAAATATAATCATAATTTATAAAAAATGTTCAGGTATTTTAAATAGTCACCTAACATTTTTCATGACTATGTGATATTCTAGCCTACAATGTACCAAATATTTTGCTTCTCTGTTGTTAGACATTTAGCTTTTTGCTTTTTCCCTTTAGAAATCTTTTAAAGTTAAAAATGCTTTTTTATTATTCAGGCTTATCCAGACTCTACAAGAAGAGACTGGGTTCGAGAGTGGCCTGGACAAGTTGTACTTTGTGTTTCTCAAATGTTCTGGACTTCTGAGACACAGGAAGTTATAAGTGATGGGACAAAGGTAAAGCATTATTGATTTTAAGTAACATTCTTTTCTATATGCTATGTTTCTTAGTGAGCTTATCTGTTATTTTTAAAGCCAATTTTCTCCTGAATTTCTACATGTAACATTAAAATTATATAATTATTTGAGAACTTGTTATATTTTATACTAGGCTTAGACAAAAATCACTCTATTCTATAATCCATTTCTCTATTGAGGTATATTATGAAGTCAGAATTGTTTGTATAAGAGTAAATATAGAAAGCACATATTTTAGGTGCTATATGAGATTAGTTTAATTGCTTTTTTATTTTTTAGGGATTAATTAAGTACTATAAGGAACTTCAGAATCAACTAAATGATATTGTAGGGCTGGTAAGAGGAAAACTATCGAAGCAGACCAGGACTACTCTGGGCGCTTTGGTTACTATTGATGTCCATGCTAGAGACGTGGTCATGGACATGATTGATGTGGGTATGTGACTTTTTTCTTTAATGTTAAAGGTAAAATATTAATAACTTCTAGCAACAAAGATTTATACTATATGTATACTATAGAATTTATTTTATATGATCTTTTCTACGTATTGGAAAACATGAATTGTTTTAATATTTGCTATTATAAAAGATGATAAAATACCTATTTTTCAAATTATTTCTATTTTAGGATCATGTATCTTGTTTTACTTTATTCTTTTTAGGTGTCTCACATAATACAGATTTCCAGTGGCTTGCTCAGCTTCGATATTACTGGGAATATGAGAATGCTCGAGTTCGCATCATTAATTGCAATGTTAAATATGCTTATGAATATCTTGGCAACTCACCTCGACTTGTCATTACTCCTCTAACTGACAGATGTTACAGAACATTGGTATGCATTTAAATTATTTTAATTCACACATTAAAGTTTACTTTTTAGTGTGGTCATATTTTTTTGTCCAAATTTAACATGGCTATCCTCATTTTATTCTCTTATTGGTGATAGTTGAATACAGCTATTCCTTCCTAACTCCAAATTTCTTTTATGTGAAATTATCATAATGAATATTTAATTCTTGGTGCTTTTGTAGAATACAAGTATGTTTAAATTCTAATGTTTGAAAATCGTGAGCACTCCCAGTTGGGAATAATTAGAAAAAGGAAAATACTGAAGATTTTAAAGAGAAAAATCAAAGCTTTGGAAAATATTATCAGTTTTTGCAGTGGAGTTCTGGGAGAGATGACAGGAAGATGAGGAAAGTACAGTTGGGCCTTAGAACTCCAAGTTAGTTCTGTTGAATAGGAGGGAGAGACCTGAAACGTAGGGAGTTGGTCCTGAGGTCTATGTTTGGTGGGAAGGTATGGAAGATAGAGCTATGACTATTAAAATAGAAACATTAGGATTAGGGTTGCCAGATAAAATACAGGACTCCCAGGTAAATTTGAATTTCAAATAAACAACAAATACATTTTTAAGATAAATAAGTCCTAAATATTGTATGGGACATATTTATTCATTGTTTATCAGAAATTAAAATTTAATTTGGCATCCTATATTTAAATTTGCTAAATCTCACAACCGTATTTGGAAATTGAGGAGGAACATCAAGAAACACCAAGTAAAGTAAGTAAAATTAAAGTGTCTTTGATTGAGTTCTCTAGAAGCAGAGATGAAATGACAATTGTTGGGCAAATGATTTACTAGAGAATGCTCTTAGTACAAATCTATAAGGAAGTGAGGAAAACAGGGGAAAGCTAAGGAGAGATGTGATTTCATTGGATATATATCCTTAGCCTGATCTCACAGGGAGTTTTGGAGCATGAATTACATCACAAAGGTACTTCACTTGAAGGCAAAGGGGCTGGCTTTTATATTCCTTTATAGTCATTGGCTGTGGGTCACCCATAGGTTTAGGGGTATAAGTGAGCTATCAGGTATTTGCCGTGAGGTAGCTTCTATTAGTTGAGAACAATTTCCAGGAGAAAAGAACAGGTGGGAGCTATTTGTAGCTGACACTCCAGCAAGTGGGAGATGGATGCAATAGTCAGTAAAGGGAATCCGGGTAGGATGTTAGTGCATCTACAATAAAATGTTTCACCAAACCCTCTAATTTCTCAGGAAGCTACCTGAGGGCAGATACCATGTCTGTCTTGGTTTCTACTCTAGTGTGAACAAGTACATAATTACTCTTTAAATATTTGTTGAGTAAATGAATCTCAAGCTTCCATGTCCTATCTGGACCCTCAGAGACATCAAAAGCTGTGAATACTTGTAAGGTGGAAGTTGTAAAATCAAAAGCACATTAAGCATTTGTATACAATACTAGAATGAAAAACAAAATAAGTCTCCTAGGATATGTATTATCTATATACTAGTGACCTGGTGCACAGATTTGTGCGCATCGAAAGGCAATTAACGAGAAGGTGGCCAGTGGGGCAGGACTGGGCGAGATGGGTCAGACACGCTCTGTTGCCAACCTCCCACAGTCTCTCCCCTGCTGGCCATACCTGGGGAGCGCTGTGGCTCAACGGGTGTCCGTGGAGTCAGTATGGGGTCCCTCTGGCAGGTGGGGTTTCTTGGCCTGGCCTACGGGGATCGGGCCAAAACCGGCTCTGACATCCCCCAAGGGGTCCCAGAGTGTGAGAGGGCACTCTGCAAAGTTGCTGTCGTACAGGGTGTGGAATGCAAATACAAGTGTGCAATAAACCAGATTCGGGGCGACAGTGCCTCCCCAATAACATAACCCATGGCCAAAGGTGGAATCGCACGGCCCCACGAGGAATCATGCTCCCTCTTCTCTGATTTTGGGGTATGTCACCTGAGAACCGCTGCTGCCAAGTCACTGTAGCTCAGTAGATCCTTCGTTGAGCGTCTGCCCCCTGGTGGTCAGTGTGCATCATTGCAACCGGTCAGGCGGGCAGAGGGACACTTAGCATATTAGCCTTTTATATATCTACTAGAGACCCGGTGCACGAATTTGTGCACGGGTGGGGTCCAGCTGGCCCACCCCGATGGGGGCCCATTGGGTCAGGCTGGCAGTGGGGACGGGCTGCGGGAGGTTGGCCGGCCGGAGTGAGGGGCCGTGGGTGGTGGGCCAGCCAGCCCTGCCCCCAATTGGGGTGTTGGCGGTTGATCGGGGGGCCAGGCAAGCTGGTAGCGGGGGGGCAATCAGGGCCCGGGCCAGGCTGGTTGGGTGCCGCAGTGCACATCATAGCCACCGGTCGTTCCGGTTGTCTGGTTGTTCCACCAGTCCAGGTGCTAGGCTTTTATATATATATCTATATAGATATATATATATAAAAGCCTAAGCGATCGTTTGACCCATAGCTATGATGCGCACTGACCACCAAGGGGCAGATGCTCAACACACAGGCATGGAAACATGGAACAGACTGATGAATCTCAGAGGGAAGGAGAGAGGGGTGGAAGAGATTAACCAAAGATCTTATATGCATACTAGAGGCTCGGTGCATGGATTCTTGCACCGGTGGGGTCCCTTGGCCTGGCCTACGGAGATTGGGCTGAAACCAGCTCTCCAACATCCCCCGAGGGGTCCTGGATTGTGAGAGGGCACAGGCCAGGCTGAGGGACCCCATCGGTGCATGAATCTGTGCACCAGACCTCTAGTATAGATATAAAAGGCTAAGTGTCTGTCTGACTGGTAGCTGTGATGCGCACTGATTACCAGGGGCAGACACTCAACTCAGAAGCTGCCATGACACTCACTGGCTATTTAAAATAAACAACACCATGGACTTGGTGCTGACAAATCAACACTCGGCTTCCCCCAAGTGGGATACAGGCCCTGCCACCACCCCGGAGCTACACTCCACCAAATTGCAGCCAACGCGGCCAAGACCCCCTGGCCCAAAATGCGGCCCATAGCCCAGCCCAGCCTGGAAACAGTCACTGTGGATGCCGGGTAATGACATTATGTAGCAATGCCCAGCTTCCTCTCCCTAGCAACTAGCCTCCTTGGAGTTTCTTCAGCCCAGGAACACGACTTACTTTATAGCCAGGTGCAAACATTTCACAGTTCAACCAAATATTTGTGAAATGTTTTCCTGTGCTTCATCTCATTTGATCTTCACAGAAGTCCTGGAGTAGGTACACAGGAGACACAGTAGAATCCTGTTTTCTTTTCATTAGCTGGAAAACAGAGATTTAGAAAGTTTAGAAACTTGACCTGACTGAAAAGAAGTAAGAAATGGTGGACCTTGAAAATGACTTCAGGTTTTCTCACTGCACAGAATATAGTCAAACACTGCTACAGTTAACTATTCTACCCTTTGTTCTCCCTGCATGATCTACAATAATAATCTGCTTTGTATTGATATTTACTGCTGTGTTGCTGACAATTAGCTGAACGAGAAGTTGGGGTGCTTCACTGGGCTAGAAAAAGTTTAGCTAAATCAGAAAGCAGGTATAATTAAGCAAGTTTATTCTATTTATGTAAAAGGCTAAGTTGACTTGCACATGCGCAATACATATAAAGCTCTCACTGGAGCCAATCACATGTGTGTGTTTCGATCTGTCATTGTCGATCGTGAATTTGATTGACACTTCTATTATAGATAAAGGGCGAATAGCGATATTAAAATATTTCTTCTAATTTCCATTCAATGTGCACAAACCCATGCACCAGGACACTAGTCCATAATAAAAGGAGCATACTTGTAAGAATTTTCTTGAAATTGTAAAGAGAAAGGTTTCTAGCAAATGAATGGACATTAACAGTGTAGCATTTATCATAAATTTAAGATAGATAAAATATCATTGATATTGCCTTTATTTAGATGTCTATTATTTTATTTTAGTAAGTGTAAAAATATTATTTTATAGGTTTATTTATTACTTATTTTTAAAATAGTCTTTTTAAAAGAGCAGTTTTAGGTTCTCAACAAAATTAAGTAGAAAGTACAGGAGTTCCCATAAACCTCCTGCCTCCCTATATGTACAACCATGTGTCCCTTAACCTTATTTCTCCTAAAAGGAGTCAAGTTTTACAAACTCTCATATTGGTTTTTATGAAGCAAACTTCATAGTTAGAGAGTTGACTGTAATCTATATGCTTCTAAAAATGTTCAGCCACTGTTCCAGTCATTGTGGAAACCCAGAAAGCATTCAGATACTGCTGATGTTGTGCTTATTGAACTTAAAGACTAAGTGAGAGGGAAAAATCGACATAATTACCTGTAAGGCAAGGTAGAAAGCAATATTAGTGGTAGGAGAAGTATAGAATAGTGTTATGGGAATAGAGAACATACCAAGAGTATCAGGATCAATAGCCAGGGTGAATCATAGATAAAATTATATAATAGGTCATATGTTTCTCTTCCAACTGATGGGTCCCCATTCATAACACCACTTTCAAATATGTACTCTCTTTGAGGTTAGCCAAGAGATTTTCATTATGGAACTCTATAATTATCTCCACAGCCACTTCTAATTAAACCTTTCTGACCAAATTGTAACACCTCAAGGCTAGATTTTCTTTGTTTTTAAAGGCAAATGGAATACTGTACATGCAAAGTATTAAAGGATAAGGAGATTTTGATACATTTTCACTTTTTTGAACTCTATAAACTGCTTATTTTTTGTACAGCTAGAAAATTGTGTGCTAAAAATTAACTGAAAAATGTAATTGTATTACTGCCTCTCTGAAGTTACAACTAAAACTAAATCCATTTTGGAAGTGATTATCTGTGTTGTAGTTTTCAGTTAAGCATGGATTATTTCTTTTCACAAAAATGTTTCTTTTCAGATAGGTGCCTTCTATTTAAATCTTGGAGGTGCTCCAGAAGGACCAGCAGGCACAGGAAAAACTGAAACCACCAAGGACTTGGCTAAAGCTCTTGCTGTACAGTGTGTGGTGTTCAACTGTTCAGATGGGTTAGATTATCTAGCAATGGGAAAGGTAAAGTTACATTTTAAATGTTACCAACTTATAGCTAGGTCTAACTGGATAAACTGAAGCAAACTCAGTTAAACATTATTTGAATGTAGTTTAAGCATTACTCGAACCTTGGGTTTACAGATAAAGACATTGTTTATATCTTTGGGCTTTTATTAACCTTAATTTTCAGTTTTGACTTAAAAGGTTAAATGTTTGTTTTAATAAGTGATGCCTTTTCCTAAGAAAAATTATCTCCTTTTTTTCTGGTCCTTAGTTTTTTAAAGGATTGGCTTCTTCTGGTGCTTGGGCTTGCTTTGATGAATTTAATCGAATTGAGTTGGAAGTGTTGTCAGTGGTAGCTCAACAGATCCTTTGCATTCAGAGAGCCATTCAACAGAAGCTGGATGTGTTTGTTTTTGAAGGGGCAGAACTTAAACTCAATCCCAACTGTTTTGTAGCTATTACCATGAATCCTGGCTATGCAGGACGTTCTGAATTGCCAGACAATCTTAAGGTAATATTTTTTAAGAATGTAAATTTGTTAATCAAAAGTTGCAGCATAACCCACTCAAAAGGTATATTTTCTCACATGTTTTTGTAATTTCTCTTTTCTATTTTCTGCATGGTAAATCTCCAAAAACTCTTTTAGGTGTCTAAAAAAAATTAAAGGGCACAAAACTATTAAAGTGCTAGTGAAAAATTAAAGAGTTGCCCTAGCCGGCTTGGCTCAGTGGATAGAGCGTCAGCCTGCGGACTAAAGGGTCCAGGGTTCGATTCTGGCCAAGGGCACATGCCTGGATTGCGGGCTCAATCCCCAGGAGGGGGCATGCAGGAGGCAGCCGATCAATGATTCTCTCTCATCGTTGAAGTTTCTATCTCTCTCTCCTTCTCTCTTCCTCAGTGAAATCAATAAAGAAATATATTTTAAAAAAATTAAAGAGTTAATGAAAAGGTGCTGCATTGGGTGAATAAACTTGAATATCAACACATTATTTTTGGGTGCTTATGCTTAGTATTAAAATGGTTTTCTTTATGTAAATAATATATTTCATTTATTATATACTTCAGGTTCTTTTTAGAACAGTGGCTATGATGGTTCCAAACTATGCCCTCATAGCAGAAATCTCCCTCTACTCCTATGGATTTTTGAATGCAAAACCTTTGTCTGTGAAGATAGTAATGACCTATAGGCTTTGCTCAGAACAGCTCTCATCGCAATTTCATTATGACTATGGAATGCGAGCAGTGAAAGCAGTTTTAGTGGCTGCTGGAAACCTAAAACTAAAATTTCCAAATGAAAATGAAGATATACTTGTAAGTATACATACATGAATGAATACATACATTGTGAAAGAAAGTCTGAGTAAAAGATAAGTTTTTTAGTGCGGTTGATCAGGAACTGTAGGCAAAAAAGAGAGTTCTTGCTTTGAGCCTTTTTATAAGAGGTTGAAATGATAGTTTAGGGGTTATGCTGTTCATTATACTTTATGTAAATGAAAGGACCTTTTGGCTCGATAAGCATAGTGTTGGCTTTTCAGTATGGGGATTCCATGGAACAATGTAAAATAAACTTTGACTTTGGGTATGGGGAGGAAAGGGCAAATACTGGCAATTAACTTAATATTGCACTTTTTGGATGCTTTTAGCTTCTTCGATCAATTAAAGATGTAAATGAACCAAAGTTTTTATCACATGATATACCCTTATTTAATGGAATAACTAGTGACTTATTTCCTGGCATTAAACTTCCTGAAGCTGACTATCATGTAAGTAAACCTCTGAGAATAACTTACTCCGCAAACAAATTTATCTCATGACTTAATAGTTTGCAAGGTGTTTTTAAAAAAAATATATTTTATTGATTTTTTACAGAGAGGAAGGAAGAGGGAGAGAGATAGTTAGAAACATCGATGAGAGAAGCATCGATTCAGCTGCCTCTTGCATGCCCCCTACTGGGGATGTGCCTACAACCCGGTACATGCCCTTGACTGGAATCGAACCTGGGACCCTTCAGTCCCCAGGCTGACGCTCTATCTGCTGAGCCAAACCGGTTAGGGCTACAAGGTTTTATTAAATGGGTGAAATCATTCTGTCTGGAGGATAATCCCCTATTTTGGTCACCTTAATATGAAAATGAGTAAATTTTACTAGTACATTCTGTTGTATGATACTAGGGTTGACAAAGTTCAGGTCAAAGATGATTGTTGTAAGAGAATAAGTATTTTCTATTGTGTGATTTCTAATACTTACTACTATCCTATCTAATAAAAGACAAAAGGGTAATTAACCATACCTCCGCTACGCTTCCCATCGGCTAATCAGGGCGATATGCAAATTCACTGCCAACAAATATGGCGGCCGGCAGCCATGCAGCTGAAGTGAACATGAGGCTTGCTTGCTCCAGTGATGGAGGAAGCCAAGGTTCCCCGCCTGCCACGGCTGGCTCTGAGCCTGAAAGCAACAATGTTTCAATTATAGAAGCTAAACAAACCCCAGATACCTGCTTTCAGCCGGCCGCGGCCTCAGAGCTGGGAGTGCCAGTGATGGCAACAATGTTTCAATTATAGAAGGTAAATAAATCCCAGAATAAAAAAAAAAGAAAAAAAGGAGAGGCTGGGAGCTTCAGTCACCCGCCCACCTGAAAATGGCCCTCAGCCCCTCACCCAGACTGTCCAGGCACCCCAGTGGGAACCCCCACCCTAAAGGGGGTGTGGCCAGCCTGAAAATAGCCATCAGCCTCTCATCCAGGCTGGCCAGGCACTCCAGTGGGGACCCCCACCCTAAAGGGGGTGCGGGCAGCTGCAAACAGCCATCAGCCCCTCACCCAGGCTGGCCAGGCACCCAAGTGGGACCCCCACCCTGATCCAGGACACCCTTCAAGGCAAACCAGCTGGCCCCCACCCATGCACCAGGCCTCTATCCTATATAGTAAAAGGGTAATATGCAAACTTACCCTAACAGCAGAAAGACTGGGAATGACTGATCACTATGACACACACTGACCATCAGGGGGCAGACGCTCAATGCAGGAGGTGCCTTCTGGTGGTCAGTGTGCTCTCACATGGGGGAGCTCTGCTCAGCCACAAGCCAGGCTGATGGCTGCCAGTATAGCGGTGGTGGTGGGAGCCTCTCCTGCCTCCTCAGCAGCGCTAAGGATGTCTGGCTGCAGCTTAGGTCTGCTCCCTTCTGGAAAGTGGGCATCCCGCGAGGACTGCCGGGCTGCCAGAGGGATGTCTGATTGCCATCTTAGGCCCAATCCCCCAGGGAGCAGGCCTAAGCCAGCAAGTGGTCATCCCTTGAGGGGTCCCAGACTGCGATAGGGCACAGGCTGGGTTGAGGGACAACCCCCTCGAGTGCACAAATTTTTGTGCACCGGGCCTCTAGTGTATACTATAATACTGTTGTATACTTCAGCTGGTAACAAAAGATTCTAAGCTGAAAGTGGTAAAACATCTTATAGTTAACAATGATTTGTTTCTCAAATTTAAATAATATGGTTGCTCTTTTTTTTTTTTAAAGAAACAAAGTATGTGTATTTCCAATTCCATTTAAATTATAGACAGAGGGGGAAACCAAGATGGCGGCATAGGTAGACACTGGAAATTGCTGCCTCGCACAACCACTTCAAAAATACAACTAAAAGACAAAACGAACATTATCCAGAACCACAGGAAGGCTGGCTGAGTGGAAATTCTACAGCTAGAAGGAAAGAGAAAAGCACAGTGAGACTCAGAGGTGGTGCAGAAGTAAAGTGCAGAGGTACGGAGGCACGCGGGAAGGGCTGGCAGCTGAGGACATAGCACATGTGGAAAGGGCTGGAAACTGAGGACACGGTTGTCTTTTTCAGTCGGGAGAGAGTCACAAGCTCCTGACTGCTCTGAACTCCAGTTCCGGGTGAGTCTCTGGGGACCCGGACTCATACGGGAGAAACTGGACTGTCTGGCATCGGTCGGAACTCGAGGGCGGCTTTCTCTCAGAGGTGCTTGCAGCAATTACTGGGACACTGAGAAACGGGGCCTCTTAGGGCAGGACTGAGAAGCAGCCATAGCTGCTTGCTCTGCCCTGTTGATCCCCTGAGATCCCGCCCTGCCCAAGCTGTGCACAGAGGCTTTTGCATATGAAAGGCCTGGCCCTTTGCAATCTGAAAATTACCTAACAAACTGCAGCTGGGTCAGAGAAAGCCAGAACATCTAAAAGAAGGCCCAAGGCCCCACAGCAGCTTGCATTGCTTCACAGCTGGGCTCCTGCTGGGTAGCCTCAGGCAGAGGTTAAATTAGCAACTCCTTAGAAATCCAAGAGCCAGTGTACCCAGTGGTCAGAGTGGGGCCATCCAGATTACAACTCCACAGATCCATAAGGGACACACTCAAGGGGCAGACTCAGTGAGCACCAAACCCCCACTGAAGCAAGTCTTGCCACAGAAGGGTGTCTCCAGCACAGAAGTTCTCCCACTGCAGACACAGCTGATTCTCACAGCCAATTGGCCTGGAGGTCAATTCCTCCCAGTGATACCTACAACAATCAAGGCTTAACTACAA